CTGCCATACCCCCGTCCTCAGTTTCATTGTGTTTCCCAGAATCCAGGAGTACAAATTTGTAATGTTTTGTTTTGCTGTTGCCCTGGTTATTGTTGTCAAAAGCTTCCCTCAGTATAATCATGTCTCTGTCCCTGAGATGTCTTGCCGTCTTACATCTCCGAGACAGACATGACTATACTGAGGGGAGCTATTGATAGAGCTAAATTGTATCCTGTCACTCCATGAAATGTGAGGTCAACTCTAGTATCCTTGCTGGCTGTGCTTTGCATATTCTCTCTGGCTTATGGGCAGTGACTTGGGGAACAAGGTAGTGCGTCTAGTCCACCCTTGGATCAGTTTGCTGCCATTTGTCTTTGAACCTTGTCTGCCCTGTGCTTGGCCATGCAACACAGCAGCATTGGTCTCCCTGCACTCCAACCATGAATGCAGAGGGATGCAAAAACTATAGGAACTATTTTACAAGCAAGATGTCACTTCCTTGGCTACCAGGGTGGCACAGTGGCTTAATGGTTAGCACGTCTGCCTTGCAGTAAATGGGTCTTTGGTTCAATTCCCGACCATGGCGCCTCCTGCATGGAGTTTGCATGTTCTCCCTGTGCTTGCATGGGTTTCCTCCAGGTGCTCCGGTTTCCTCCCACACTCCAAAGACATGCTGGTAGGTTAATTGGATCCTGTCTAAATTGGCCCTAATATGTGTATGTATGAATGTGAGTTAGGGACCTTAGATTGTACACCCCTTGAGGGTTAGGGACTGATGTGAATGTACTATATATATATATATATATATATATATATATATATATATATATATATATATATATATATTGTGTGTGTGTAAAGCGCTGCGTAAATTGACAGTGCTATATAAGTACCTGAAATAAATAAATACTAGGTCTTTGCTGTCTGAGGTAAGCCTGGGCATTATGGATTCATATCAGGGTTTGCTTGTGGAGGATTTTTGATTGGTGCTTGGTTTATTATTATACAGGATTTATATAGCACCAACAGTTTGCTCAGTGCTTTACAATATAATGGAAGACAATACAGCAACAATACAGTTCAATACAAGAGGGTTAGGATGGGGCCCTGATCCTTGGAGCTTACAATCTAGGAGGGAGGGGCTAGTGGTGCAAAAGGTATGCGATTTTGTATTTCCGGCAAGGGGGTGCATGCCCTACCCGCACTGCCATTGGCAGCTTCAGGTGTTGATCACCGGGTCCTGGCCGCTTATTCCCAGCCGGCAATTGCAACAATACAGGCCTCTCCCCTGTCGGCTCCAGCACACAGCTTTGTATGGCTCTGCATAGCAAAGCCATGCAAAGCAGCATGCTTACTTGATCGCCCCAGATGTTAACACCTTTCTGCTCAGTGTCAGTACAGTGTTAGTGCTTTTTATTAGCACTGATCACTGTATTATTGTCACTGGGGATGTTCGTGACAAACTAGTAGAAAAAAAATTGTTTTTTATATAGGTTGTTTTTTTTTTTTTTTGTGTTTTTTTTTTTGCAAAGATGTAGCAGAATACATTTTGGCCTAAATTTATGATGAAATTTTATTTTTTACTGAACATGTTTAATAGCAAAATTTCAAAAATATTTTAGTTTTTTTTTTTTCTCAAAATTGTCAGTCTTTTGTTTGTAGTGCAAAAAATAAAAAATGCGCAGTTGATCAAATACCGCCGAAAGAAAGCTCCATGGGGGGGGGGGGGGGGGGGGGGGGGGGGGGGGGGGATGGGAAGGACATAACTTTCATTTTGGTGCAATGTCACATGACCACGCAATTGTCAGTTAAAGTAATGCAGCACTGTATCGTAAAGAAATGGCCTGGCCAGAAAGGGGGGGGGGGGGGATCCTCTGGAGGGCAAGTGGTTAATAAAGCTGGTATAGCGACTCTAAACCCTCCTCTCCTTTTCAGCCAAGGAAGTTGCTATCTTAGCCTCTGTTGATCTGCATTTACCATGGTGCTGCACATGTGATCAGCTATGACACCAACTATTTGATGGTTTGACATTTTCGTTGTGAGCATAAGCAAATGTGATGGCATTCGTGGCATGCCTTGAATGCAATTGTTTTGGGAAATCGTTGGGTTTATTTCTGCTTTAAACTAGTTTGTAAACCCTTACCTATACCCAGTGAAGTAACAAGCCTCAGGTGATACACAGACATGAAACAAATCCTCCTATATAAGTTGTACTTGTTAATTTTCAGCCATTTATCCTGTACATCATTGTCAAATGTAGAGCTGAAATGGAGTTTTTACAGACTCACAAAGCAGGGGGTATGGAGCTGCAGTTACACACTGTACAAGAGCTCTGAGAGCTGAGGGAAGAGACGCCCCCTTCACACTGCACACAGAAACAGAGCTGAGGCTGTCAATCAGCACAATATTACATTACCTTTCAGGGTGAAAGGGTTTTTTTTTGGGGGGGGGGGGGCTTTACTACAGCTTTAGGACCTGTTATTTGTGTACCTTTTTGTGAGCATAAGCAAAGACATTTAATGGGGGGAGGGGTTTATTAACCGCTTCCCAACTGCCCTATAGCAGAACTACTCCTACAAGGTGGCAGGGCTGTGCAAAATCGTGTGTGTGTGTGTGTGTGTGTGTGTGTGTGTGTGTGTGTGTGTGTGTGTGTGTGTGTGTGTGTGTGTGTGTGTGTGTGTGTGTGTGTGTGTGTGTGTGTGTGTGTGTGTGTGTGTGTGTGTGTGTGTGTGTGTGTGTGTGTGTGTGCGCTTTTGCATTTCCGGGAAGGGGGCGTGCGCTGCCATTGGCGGCTACAGCTGTTGATCTCCGGGTCCTGACCAGAGATTCCCTGCCGGCACCCAGAGATTACCAAGGAACACTGACAAGGGAGAGGTTTGTATGTAAACAATACAGATCTCTCCCCTGTCTGCACCAGCATGCATAGCAGAGCAATACACAGCAGCATGCTTACATAGTAAAGCGCACACACAGACAACCGTAAAATGTCGGTGCAGCGTTGCATGACTGCGCAATTATCAGTTAAAGTAACGCAGCACCATATCGCAAAAAATGGCCTTGTCAGGAAGGGGGGTAAATCCTCTGGAGGGCAAGTGGTTAAAATTGGAGTGTAGTAGCTCTGGCTTGTTCAATTTAAGCTTTGAAAATGAAAGCTAGAAACAAATTGGTTGCTGTGCTTAATTGCTGCATGTTCTGGCTCCTTCAGTCTGCATTTCCCTGAAAGTTCTTTATTCAGCTGCAGTATATTTGGCTTAGTCCTCTTCACCAAGGGAATTACTTAGTGATTTTTATTTCAAAAGCAGCACATCCTATCCATAAATGTGGTTATATAAGGTTCCTCAATTGCTTGTTTTCTCAGGTTTTCTCTAGCAGTGCCACCTGCTGGTGCAGTCTTGTTTTGCGATGTTTTCATAGATCATAATGGGAAATATCACAGTTTGCTGGTTAGTCTACCTAGTAATGTGATAAGTAGCATTTTTGATACAGGATCTTGTGGACATCACTGGTAGTATAGTGCTTTCTAACCACTTTGTGTTTCAGCAGCAGTTATTTTCTGTAACAATTCATTACAAATCCCCTATTTGAAGACCTACTCCTTAGATTGCTAAAATGTATGTCCTTTGTGTTTTTTTTTTTTTTTTTTTTTTTTTTTTTTTTTTTTTTTTCGGTTTTGAATTCTTCTTCTTCCTTTTTGTTATTGAAAAAAAAATCAGGTTTTTACTTGCCTGCCCTGTACAATAGAATTGCACAGAGCAACCCCGAACCTATTCTTCTCGGTTCCCCTGCTTGTGCTCCTGGCTCATCCTTTTCTGTGAGCTTGCCCTCCCTTTCCTGCCTTCTGTACTTTTACTAGCCAGTGAGGCTGTCCATAATAGTGTACCAGTAGAAACGTGTGCGGAAGCAGGCCTGGGCAGCAAGCTCCAACATTACATCAAAGTTTTAAAGCTTTTCTTCATGAAATGGTTTAGGATTCAGCTGTGACAAAGGTTTGGGAGTCTGCTGCAAGGTATTGTTGAAGCCATATAGGTGGATGTTGAATATACAAGGTGGAACAGTGTGCAAATATCTCAAAATGTAATGTACATAAACCCAAAGAAAATGAAGGGTTGCTTTTGGCAGGGTTTTTTTTTTTTTTTTTTTTTTTGTACAATTGATAGATCTGAGTAGCACCTTCTTGGTTATTTTGTGATGTATAAGTTATGTAATTGTACAGTCTATTATACAGGTTGTCCATAGCACCAGGGACTTCAGACTATTTGTTTAAAAATGTTCTGACCTGGAATCGGCTAATGTAGTAACCATTTACCATCCATAGGCTGTTTTTAAATGGCCTGGAGTTTGTGACTAATACAAGGTTGCTTTTCTTTAATTTTTTTTTTAATTTATTTTCACACCTCCATCAATTTTAAAGTGGTTGTGAAGTCAGAAGGTTTTTCACCATCATGCATTTTATGCATAAAGGTAAAAACCTTATGCTTGTAGCTCTCCCAAATACTTGCCTGATCTCGATCCAGGGATGTGAGCGCAGAGGCTCTCTTGGCTCTCACTTCTCATTGGCTTAGAGACAGCAGTGGGAGCCATTGGCTCCCACTACTATCAACCACAGCCAGTGAGAAGGGAGCGGGGTCAAGGCAAATTCACACTCTGCGTCTTTTGGACACACAGAGCAGGACTCTGGATCAAGCATGTGTCAGTGGTGTGGTGGGAGGGGCCAGGAGCAGGGTTCTGAGATGAGGAGGATCAGGGCTGTTTGTTTATTTAAAATAAATAAATAAATTAAAACTTGTTTGAATCACTTAAATTAGGCTTGAATGCCTAGGCATTTTGTCACATAACATTTATTGCAAGGTTTGGATTGGCTCATCCTTTCCTCCCGCTGAAATCACCGGAGTAAATGCTTAGGCTGAGACTTTGAAAGTTGGGAAAGAATATCCACTTTTTTTTTTTTTTTTTGTACTTGAACCCACTGTTGACATGGCTGTTTACAAATTGGTAACCTTTTCTTCCTTTTTGTTCCCCAGGCGGATTTTCTGAAAGGTTTACCAGTGTACAATGAGAGCAATTTCAGCCGATTTCATGCAGACTCTGTGTGCAAAGCTTCAGTAAGTAGTTTCATAAAAAAAGTTTGCCTTTTATTTCCAGTCTTGAAATCTTCGTATTCACATACCTGCCACTCCTGGTCTCAGAACTTCTATACACGAAGGCCTCTTATGCTGAATTTTTTATATTTTTTATTTTTTATTCTGCATGTGCTAATTGACTTGCTGTTGTGTTGAGCATCTTCAATTATTTTCACTAACCCAGAACACATGTAGCTAAGAATAAAAACCCCAAAAATGCAGCGCTTGAGCATGTAGTAAGAAGAAATTAGCGTATGCACATCCGGATTAAAAGAAATACATTAAAGGTATAACATGCACCAACTTAAACGCACAAATTAATGCAAACAATGGACGGGTAAGTATTAATGATTCATCCGACCAAAACAAAGTGCATATAGTGATAGGGATGTTTAGAGTCATTAGAAGTACATCCGTATATCAATCAAATTCGTGACTTCCGTGATAGGAGAATAGCTGCAAAACGCACTAACCAGATAGCGCAGGAAAAATCGCATTGGAGTATAATGACCTACTCCCGGTCACAGCCCAAAGATCATCAGCGAAGGGACCTCAGGAACACCTTTGCATCAATCATGCCGTCTCCTACCACCAGGGGGAGTACGTCTCCTTACAGTTACACGAATTTGCCTTATATCATCTTTCGCCAAGGGTGTGTGTGCTTTTGTATCAGGAGATCACCTTAGGGACTCAGCAATAAGGCCCAAAAGAGAGAAATCTTGATAGTGTAGTAATTTTATTCAAAAGGTTGCTAAAGAACAAGTAGCACACTTGCATAATATCCAGAAAAGCTGATTCACAGAATCCAAAAAGATGGCCGACAGTCAGATGCATGGACCATGTGGGTAACAAGTAGTATGAGAGGTATCCTTATCCCTAACGCGTTTCGTGGCAAGAGCACATTATCATTTGATAATGTGCTCTTGCCACGAAACGCATTAGAGATAAGGATACCTCTCATACTACTTGTGATACTAAGGTGATCTCCTGATACAAAAGCACACCACCCTTGGCGAAAGATGATATAAGGCAAATTCGTGTAACTGTAAGGAGACGTACTCCCCCTGGTGGTAGGAGACGGCATGATTGATGCAAAGGTGTTCCTGAGGTCCCTTCGCTGATGATCTTTAGGCTGTGACCGGGAGTAGGTCATTCTACTCCAATGCGCTTTTTCCTGCGCTATCTGGTTAGTGCGTTTTGCAGCTATCTATCACGGAAGTCACGAATTTGATTGATATACGGATGTACTTCTAATGACTCTAACATCCCTATCACTATATGCACTTTGTTTTGGTCGGATTGAATCATTAATACTTACCCGTCCATTGTTTGCATTAATTTGTGCGTTTAAGTTGGTGCATGTTATACCTTTAATGTATTTCTTTTAATCCGGATGTGCATACGCTAATTTCTTCTTACTACATGCTCAAGCGCTGCATTTTTGGTGTTTTTATCTGTCTCTGAGGAGGTTATACGAGGTTTACCTTCATGCTAGCAGCTTGAATCTTTCAGACTAAGCGCTCGTCTTTTATCCCATTTTATTACATGTAGCTAAGAAATTCTGTGCATACTTTAGTGACTTCAAGAACAATTATCCTTTTTATTTGTCCTCACCTGAACGCCCACCTGCATGCTGCCCACTAGATGCTAACTTAAGCAATACTGGACACTTTTACCCCTTCCAGTCCAGGCCAATTTTCAGCACTGTCACACTTTGAATGACAATTGCGTAGTCATGCAACACAATACACAAATTACATTTTTATTATTTTTTCATTTGGTGGTATTTAATCAACAGTGGGTTATAAAATTCTGAAAATTTTGTTCTTTTATAAATTTAGGTCAAATGTATTCTGCTACATTTCTTTGGTGAAAATAACCCAAATCGGTGTTTATTATTTAGTCTGTAGGAATATTTAGCGTGCACAGTGTTGGTGCACAAACTTTGGCATATAACTGAAAATCGATCAATGGCCTATCTCATCTTGAGACCCAAAAATGTCAGGACAATACAAATCCTCAAAATGACCCCTTTTTTGGAAAGTAGACAGTCCAAGGTATGTAGTAAGAGGCATGGCAGTGATCAGGGAGACTGACCGACTTGTTTAGATTAGTTAGGCTTTACTATCACTTTAAGCGTTGACAAAACCAAGTATATTGTAGGATACTTGTTCTACTTTTTGTAGACCAGCTTAAAGTGGAATTCGGACAAAACCTAGCTACTCTTAAAAATGCTCCCTTCCCCTCCTAACACCTATACTAACCTGTGTAAGAGAGAATATATACACTTACCTATTTTCAGGCCGCTCCGGTCACATGATCTGGCTCACTTGACAGTCAGTGGCAAGGGAGCACTGACAGTGGATGGGCCCAAAGAGCCTATGAGTGACTTTACCGCTTCCAGGCATCGCCTGCTTTTGAGTGCTTTCTCCTCTCCCCTGTAGCCAACCCTGGCTAACAGAGGAAACCACGTGTCCAGACAAGCCTAAAAAAAGGTAGTTCTACAAATCTTTCATATACAGGTTAGCCAGAATAGGTTTTGGGGCAGAGGGCGGAGTGAGCATTTTTAAGAGTACACTGCACAATTATTAGGCAAGTGATTATTTTGCCCAAACCTTCATTTTTATGCATATTGTCCAACTCATAAGCTGTATAAACATAAATGCTTATTGGATTTAAGCATATCAGGTGATGTGTATTTGTGTAATGAGGGAGGGTGTGTCCTAAGGAGATCAACACCCTATATCATGGTGTGCATAGTTATTAGGCAGCTTCTTTTCCTCAGGCAAAATTGGCCAAAAAAGAGATTTAACTCTGAAAAGTCAAAAAGTGTAAAGTCTTCCAGAGGGATCCAGTACTCTTGAAATTGCTAAGATATTGGGGCATGATCAAAGAACCAACGTTTTGTTACAAATAGTTACCAGGGTTGCAAGAAACGTGTTGAGAAGATGCAAACTAACTACCAAAGATTTGAGAAGAATCAAACGTGACGCTAACAGGAACCCATTATCCTTCAGTACTGTCATATTTCAGGATTGCAACCTACCTGGAGTGCCCAGAAGTACAAGGTGTTCAGCGCACAGAGACATGGCAAAGATAAGTTGAAACGTCAAGACTGGGCCAAGAAATATCTGAAGACAGATTTTTCAAAGTGTTTATGGACCGATGAGATGAGTGACTCTTGACAGATCAGGTGGATGGGCCCATAGCTGGATCAGTAACGGGCACAGAGCTCCACTTCGTCTCAGATGCTAGCAAGGTGGAGGTGGGCTAATAGTATGGGATGGTATTAAAGATGAACTTGTTGGACCTTTTCGAGTTGAAGGTGGATTCTGGATCAAATCCCAAACGTGCTGCCAGTAGTATTCATACCCCTTGAAATTTTCCACATTTTGTCATGTTGCAACCAAAAATGTAAATGTATGTATTTGGGACTTTATGTGATAAACCAACACAGTGACTGTGAAGTGGAAGGAAAATGATAAATGGTTTTCATTTTTTTTTTTTTTTTTTTTTTTTTTTTTGCAAATATCTGAAAAGTGTGGCGTGCCTTTTGATTTCTTTTAGTGAGCTACAGAATACTTCTCCCTTTATGTAATGGAAATGGCAGGAAGAGTAGGTGTTCTGTAGTCCAGCCGGGAAGACCTCAGACAAGGTTGACAGCACTTCATGGCCGGTTCACATTATAGAAACTCGTTCTGGATGTGTTTTTTTTTTGGGGCGGTCCGGGTGCGTTTTTGGCACTTTCCAGTGCATTTTTTTTTTATGCATTGCAGTTTCAATTTTTTGTCTTTTTCAATTTAAATAGGGACATGTGCCTTCTAGTGTGATTTTGGTGCATTTTACCATGTTCCAGTACAGTTCTGTGCAGAAACAATGCAGCCTGTTATACTTTTTTTTTTTTTTTTTTTTTTTTTTTTTTTTTTTTTTTCCCTTTTCTTTTTCCTGCAGCTGGAACTGCAAGCACTGATGTGAACTATGACATTGACAACCATATAACCTACTTTCTGTGTGTTTTTGGATGCAGAAAAAAGCAATTGAAACGCATGTAGTGTGAACTGGTCCTCAGTGTTGTAGACACTGAGGTTTATTTGCTAAAGCTGTTACACTCAATCTCATGCACGTCTGCATGGAAACCATTCAGATTTAGCAGGTTTTAAAACCTGCTAATCTTAATTGAACAAGCTGAGGTTAGAAGCTGATTGGCTACCGTGCCGAGATTCTGAGTGACCCAGCTTTAGTAAATACACACCACTATGCTCTCAGGTCAAATTTGGTTAGAAATGCACTGTATTTCTGGCAGATCAGTTATTTTTCTGTTCTTGCAGCAATTTAAAAAGCCCCAAATATGGGAAATGTGCATATATTGCAGAGAGATACTGATTATTTATTTTTATTTTTTGTATCCAGACATTTTATTTGAGATTTTTCTGCAAGATCACCACCATTCACCATCAGCACCCTTCTATAGTCTATTGAAGTCTATATCCCTGGGTTGGAACTCAAGAATACTGTGCTTTTAAGTACAGCTTGGGTAAAGGAAAAGCCTATGTTTTTCTGAGCCATTTATTAGATTCACTTTCTTCTGAAGCTCACAGAATAACTTCCACTGTGTTAAAAATTTGTCAGATCCATGTGGTCTCCTCTTTTTTGCCATTTTCTTCTGTTATCTTTGTAGACTGTTCTGCAAAATAGGTTTGAGGTCAGTCAATCCATGTGATGTAATTTATTTTCCTGGTATAGCTGGTATCTCTAATATACTCCAATTTTACCAGTTCATCTTGAAGCGTCTTCCACTGATTGGTGCTTTTTAATGGCACAATCTTAAAAGCAGTAATTAGATATGTCCCTTTTTATAGGGTCCCTTTTTAATTTTTGCTCAGTGTTACATGTCCATCAGCTGTACTCTTAGCGGTGTTTTAACAAACAGCAGTTTGTAAGTAAATACTGCATCTTAATAATTTGATGGCATTGCAACTCAA